TCCAGTGTTCCACCAGCCTGTCCAGGTCCGCCAGCCTCTCCACTGAGTAAAGCTTTTGCTTTACTATTAAACTTTCTGTCCACCCTCTATTTTTCTCAATATTTCCCATTAAATTCTCTCCCCCATCCCACCCAGGGGACAGTGAGCGAGTGGCTCTGTGGTTCTTGGCTGCCCACTGGGGTTAAACCATGACACCAGTTTGAAACCCCACAGCCCAGATTTAGTGCAGCACTCAAATGCAAAGGCACTGGAAACGCCCCATGGTCCTCCCAAGCCCCTTCCTTGGCCACAGGCCCATCAGGAAGGGGAAGATGGGAAGGGGCTCATGCACAATGATCCCTGTCCATCTGAGTCTGCTTCCCACCCTCAACATCTCCCCCAGGGCATGCCCATGTGCTCCCAGGCACCCCCGCCATTGGCTACTTAAATAATTTATTACAATATATTTATAAATGTTATTATAATATTAATATTAATATCAATATTAATAAGTTATAGTTTATAAATTTTAATAAAAATAAAATATACCTAGATCTATACTTATATAATTTATTATATCATGTTTATAATGTATTATATTATGTTTATAAAGAAGTATAAATCTAACTTTATTTTATTATACTTTAATAAATTTATCAATTTTAATTTATTATAATTTATTTATTTATTATATCTCTATATTACATGAATGTATATATTTTCATAAATATATTTTATCTTTTTAAAAATAGGTACTTTTATTTGTACAGCTATGCTTCTATATATGTATATTTGTATCTATTGTTATATATATATATCTACATTTATAAAACTACAGCAAAAAAATATATAAACCAAGAAAAACATAGGTATGAAAGGGATAAAATCTTTTTTCATGGGAGCTCCCAGAGTGATCAGTTAAAGCTTCAACGTGAACAGAAGCCAAGGCAAAGGCCGGGTGGGGATCCCCCACTTTTCCAGCTGCAGAACAAGCCCTGACAGGTCGGGCTGGGAGGGGGTTTCCAGAGAGGGGAGGGGGCCTGGACAGTGGTGGGGCACGGACAAGCGGGAACGTGCCCAGGGGCTACGGCCCCTGCTGGGGGGGTTGAGCTGCTGGCTGGGGTCACCCCAAAAGAGGAGCACACAGCCCATGGGTTGGTCTGGGCTGGTGAGGTCACTGCTGCTGAGGAGCCAACAGGCCAGGAGGAGGCTTCTGGTTGGTGGAGGAGCTTGTGAGGGCACTTGTTGCCTGGTCTCTCCCAGCTGAGCAGAGAGCAAAGAGGGGGAGATGTGGGGGTCAGGTCTCTGGTGCCGGAGTAGCTGATAGAGCAGGAGCAAGGGCAGGGCTCTTGTAGGGGCTGGAGAGGTCCCTGGTGCTGGTGTCCATGAGAGACAAGAGGGAGACACATGGCTGAGGGTTGTCCTTGGGATGTCCCTCTTGGCTGAGGAGCTGATAAGAGCCAGGAGCAGGTCCAGAGCTTGTGTAGGGGCTGGTGAGGTCACTGGTGCCTGCGCAGATGATGGGCCAGGAGCTGGACCCTGTCGGGGGGATGTACTTGCGATGCCACCTGAGGAGGCCATATGAGGTCATTCCAGTCCTATGGAGACCCCACCCAGATAGGGCTTCTTGGAAGAACCATCGTCAGCAGAAGCCCGTACCCAACACACAGACAGGTGTGACAGCGTGACTCCTGAGCCCATGGGGGCAGCAGCAGGAGGGTGTGAGCTCACCGTCAGTATCACCCCTGCACACACACAGCAGCAGCAGGAGGGCGGTGAGGTGCCGTCCCCGATGTCAGCCCGTGGCCGTGGGGTGGGTGCATCCGAGGGGCATGGCGGGGGTGAGGAGCTGCCCGTCCCCGTGTCTGCGAGGCCGAAGGAGCAGCCCCTGCAGCCCTGGCTGCAGCAGTCGGGGTGGGGGTGTCTCGGGGGCACCGCAGGGATGTGCCTGGGCCCGGCGCCAGGAGGAAACCACAGACTTCCTGCCCGGGCGCTGCGGGGGGAGCGGGGGGAGGCCACGGGGGCTGGGGGTTGTGCACCTGCAGGCTCCGGCTCCCGATGCGCCCGCGGGGAAGAACGGCCCCTGGGTGACACGCTGAGAGGCAGGGAGAGGGCTGAGCCTCTGGGCTGCCTGTCTGCTGCCAGGGCAGGGACATGGTCCAGCTCCGGCTCCTGCCAGGGACTCAGCCTGGGGCTCTGCAGGGAGGGACGCACAAGCCAACCCTCCACCCCATGGAGCTCTCTCTTCCCCTGCCCAAGGAGCTCTCCCAGCACAGCCAGCTCTGGGGCAGGGGCTCTTGCCTCCCCCTCCTGACACAGCATCTGGGGCAGTCCCCGCTCCAGGCTGGACGCGGCTTCGGGGCGGCTGGACACTTGCCTCATGGCTTCTTGGGCCAGCCCAGCGCAGGAGATGCTCAGTGCTCCCAGTCCCCACAGCGCAAGGGGTGCCAGGGGGGACCGACCCCTGTGCCCTCCACACCCGCCTTCTCCCGTCACCATCCCCCACCGCAGCCACCATGACACCCACCGTGGGACATCCGTGTCCCTCATATATGGTCATGAGCGGCGCTGGAGAAGTTCATTGGAGGGCTGGGCTCTGTCGGAGGGGAGATGGCTCCCGATAACATCTACAAAGGTGCTGCTGCTGCTTCAATTGGCTCCTTGCGCAGCTGGGTCGGCGTCTGCAGAGATAGATCACCCTCCGGAGCATCGTTGTTGTCCCTGTGGGTCCCCAGGAGCCGTGCGAGGGAGTGGGGTGCAGCAGGGCCGTGCCAGTGGGGCAGGAGGCTGAGGATGGGAATGGAGGGACTCGTGTCCCCTCGCGTGCTGTGGCTGCTCCTCTGGGTGCAGCTCTGCAGAGGTAAGTGCTGGCTGCCTTTTCCCACAGCCCAGGGCCATCGGGGACCAGTGGGGTCATCCAGATCCCTATGGGAGCAGGGTTTCTTTCCAAGGGCCACTGAGATGAGGGTGAGAAGGGGCTCAAGTCCATGGACCCCGTGCCTTTGCCTGTGTCCATCTGGGTGGGAGAGGAGATTATCTCCATTTCCAGAACTCCAGTCTGTTCTTGGCAGCATTTAAAGTCAACCCATCCAGGGTGACTCCTTGGGGAGGTTTTGTTCCCCAGTGCTGTGCCCCTGAGGCTGGCTGTGGCTCCAGGCTTAAGGGGAGCCCTGGCCCTAGCAGGGCAGTTTGTGCCCCACAGAGAGAAGGGGACTGGGCTCTCTGCATCCACAGGTGACAGAGAAGAGAACGCAAGAGGGGAGGAAGGGACATGGGTTGGCATATCCTTGAGATCCCTGAGGGCACAAAAAGAGCTCTGGGTGGTGTGATCTTGGGTGGTTCCAGGGCACGTGGATGCAGGGGAATCTGTTGGACAGGGGGACAGGGGCTGTTCAGGGGTGGTGGGGAAGAGGGGGTGCCATGTGCAGGGCCTGGGGACACGATGAGTAGGAGATCATGGGAGGGGGGCCATTGGAGTGGGAGGAGGTTCCAAGGTCTCTGGGAGGGAAAATTGCCCAGTAGGTTTGGAGTTGTGCACCCCCAGCCTTCACAGGCTGTGGGGGAGAGGAGGGACCCTCCACACTGACCAAGGGACAGCATGTAGGGTGGAGGGCTCCCACCATGGTGCCTGTGACTCAGCCTGGGCAGGGGAACGTCCAGACCTGCAGTCTGGGGCTCAGTGCTCTCCTGACCTGTCCCATGTTGGTGTTTGAAGGGGCTGCGGAGGTGAAGCTGGAGGATGGCGGTGGGCGCTGCGCTGGAAGAGTGGAGGTGAAACGGCAGGGCCAGTGGGGGACCGTGTGTGGTGTCGAGTGGGACATGAATGATGCTGCAGTGGTTTGTAAGCAGCTGGGCTGCGGGTCTGCTCTTGAAGGTTTTCCAAATGCACACTTTGGGCGAGGATCTGGCCCCATTTGGATGGCTGGTGTTCAGTGTCATGGCAACGAGTCAGCCCTGTCTGACTGCACAAACACAGAATGGAATCTACAATTCTGTGATCACAGTCTGGACGCTGGAGTGGTGTGTTCAGGTACAGTGCCAGCCCCTTCCCCACCTTTACGACTGGGATGGGGGAAGGGACCTGGCTGTGCCCTCAGGGAAACAAGGGGTTACTGGAGAAGGGCTGGTGTGGCTGGTCCCACTGCTGAGCTGGGACGGTCCCTGCTGGATCCCCGGTCCCTGAGGAAAGCCCAGTGGGAACCCCCCACTGCTCAGCCCTCCCTCCATGCCTGGGGCACCCTCTGTGCCTCCCGCTGGGATCTCTTGGACGCCCACATTTTCTGCTGTCACCTCAAGTGCAGGTTTACCAAGTCCTATCCCAGGGGAGGGCATTTTGGAAGATGAACTGGCCCTGTCTGGAGAGACTCGTTCCACTGTGAGGGGACTGAGGAACACCTGGGGCAGTGCCCAGTGAGTGCCCTGGGGGCCTCGCCGTGCTCCCCTGGGAACGACGCTGCTGTCAGATGCTCGGGTGACTGCTGGGAGAACACTTGATGAACTCTGTTTTCTGCTTCCATGCTCCCAAAGCAGGGACCCTGTGTCAGGGCAAGGCTTCCCCAGGAGTGATCGGGAGCCCTTTGCCTGCTCAGATGGACTTCTCTGCGGTGGGAGGGTAGAGGACAAAACAAGGGGAGAGTGTATTTTGTCCACTGGGTTAGGGGCTCAGACCCTCAGGCCACCATCAGGTCGGGCTCTTTTACCCTCCCAGAGTGGGATGGGCAAGAGACAGCCCTTTCCAAGCCCCACAGAGAGTCCACAGAGCCCAGTCCCACACTCACAGGGGCTGCCTGGGGACCCCAAGAGCAGAACTGGGGGGTGAGCTGCAGAGTGGGGTCGGCTTCTCAGCGTAAGACCCAAAGATATCCTGTTTGATGGGTATCTTCCCATCACCCATCTCCTGAATGCCTGAATGAAATAGGGATCAGGCCGGGGTGTCCCGGCCCCCCACCTCTCCCAGGCCTGCTGCTGCCCTGTCTGTGTCCCTCCCATGCAGATCCCACCTGTAACAATCCAACTGGCAGCTGGAGACTCTCCTTGCCCGTCATCATCTGCATCATCCTGGGAGCCCTGCTCTGCCTGCTCCTGGCCCTCCTGGCCAGGCAAGTGCGAAGCGCCAGGGCTGGGCGCAGAGGTGGGTCCCTTCCCAGGGGAAGATGCCTCCTGGCAAGGGCAGGGGTGCCGTGGGGTGTGAGGGAGTGGGACAGGCAGAGCTGGGGGGACAGGAGTGTCAGCTCTCTGGGGGATCCCATCCTCTCTCTGACCAGCCCTGGGCCAGCCCTGCCTCTGTCCGCAGGCTCTGAGAGAGCTCAGGAGCCCTTCCTGGAGGCCGTGTACGAGGAGATCGATTACAGCCCAGCGTGGGAGAAGCAGGCAAGGTTCAGCGGCCCAGGTTGGTGTGTGTCCCTCATGGAGGACACATCTACAGTGCTCTTTGCCCTTGTTTTAACCCAGGGTTGGTCCCTGCATCCCCCTGACCAATGGTCCATGTGATGCTGGGGGTGTGGGGTGTGTGGGAGGAGCAGCCGGTCCCTGGGCCCAGGAGAGAAGCTTTCTTTGCCCCAGCTCTACCCGTCCCAGGTGGGGACTTGCTGGGCCACACAGGGCTGGGATTGTCCTCTCTCTGCTGGCCCCTGCACTCAGGGGGACCCCTGAGGGGTGAGGGCAGGGTCTGTGCCAGGGCAGCTGTGGGAGGCCCTTGGAGATGGGGTTTGTCCCAGGGGAGCAGGGGGAGTCCTGAGCCCTCGTCCCCATGCAGCCCTGGCTCTGTGGGTCCCCCGTCCCCAGCAGCGCTGAGCACAAGCTGGGTCAGCCGAGCGCACTCCTGTAACACCCGCTGGGCCTCTCTCCAGGCTCCTATTCCGAGGGGTCCCTGACCAAGCTGCAGTCCTACCCCGGGGACAGCGAGGAGGAAGAGGAGGGTGCAGGGTCAGCACCAGGTACAGGGAGAGGGGCAGGAAGGGGTGGATGTGATGGACAGCAGCGTCACTGGGTGTCAGCGTCAGAGCTGGGGAGGACATGTGGGATCTCCTGTGGGGCTGCCAACACCAATGTCTGAGCCCCACGTCCCTGCACATCCTCCCATACTCTGCTCTGCAGAACGCATCTGCTCCCTGTCACCAGCTCCCCTCTCCTTTCAGACCTCCCTGTCCTGCCCGGAGGTGACCCAGCAGATGGCTATGATGATGCCAGGGAGGTTTCTGACCATGGGCAGGATCCTGCCCCCAGTCAGGAAGCCTGGGAAATGCCCAGGGTGCCAGAGGAAGGAGCAGGGCCCAGGGATGCAGCTGGAGGTGAGAGGGAAAGAGCGAGCTGCCGGTTCCTGGGGTGCCACCCCTGGTGCTGGATGAATCCCTGCCACCCTGAGAGCCCAAGCTGCTGGGATGGGGGAACCTGCCCCAGGAGAGTTCCTGGGGGGCACCGTGGGTGGGAGAGGGAGCTGAGTCTCTCAGGAGTGGTGAGGAGAAGGGAGGAAGGTGATGCACAGAGCAGGAGGGGCACCCCATGGGCTGAGCGTGCAATGGCCTGCCTTGCTGCTCTCTGGGGCAAAGCTGCTCTCCCGGAGAAGTGCTGGGGCCCCCGGAGCTAAGGGGGATGGCTGGTCCCTGTCCCCAGAGAGCACGGGCTATGACGATGCTGCAGAGGTGTCTCTGGCACATCTCCCTGAGGACACCGAGGCTGTGACAGCGGAGCTCAGAGCACCAGAGTCCCCCAGCCCCGGGCCAGGAGAGCCCGTCCCTGCAGAGCAGCTGGGTGCAGCCAGGAGGGAGGAGAGGTCTGTGCAGCTGGGAGAGCCCTGAGCACCAGGGAACCCTCTCCCTTTTCCCAGGGGCAGCACAAACTGCCAGGGGCTTCCTCCATTTCTATTCCCCTCTTTTCACCCCCTGCCCCCACACTGGTTCTTATTAAAAGCCTTGGAGCCAGAGCTGTGTTTGCCTGCCCGGGTGCTGGAGTGTCGCCCTTAGGGGCACTGGAGGAAACCAGAGCACAAAGACGTGGTGGTGGGGAAGGGGCATGTCTCGGGGACAGCGGGTTCGGGGTCGGGCTGTGGGGCTGGGAGAGCCCACGGTCCTTGGGAGCTATTTCTGCTGACAGAGACATTTCCATCCTGCCAGTCCCAGTTTCCAGCCAAAATGGTTCTCTGCAAGGTCCCATGATGGACCTCAGCCCATCTCCTCACCCCAGGGTTCCCCAGTTGCTCTTTCCCTCAGGCCCTGCCTGAGCCATGCTGGTCCCATGGTGCAGAGGTGATGACAGAGCTGCTGTGTTGGGGTGAGCCCTGGGCTG